CCGCTCTGGGCTGAGCAAACCCGGGGCCCTCAGCTGCTCCTCATACACCTTGCTGTCCAGACCCTTTACCATCTTTGTCAGCCCTCCTCTGCATGCTTGCTAACAGTTATCAGGAAAATATGCGAGAAAAAAATTTTATCGCAATTCTCAGGCAGCCTGAGAGAGCAGTGACTTGTATTTTGGGGAGAGGTAGGAAAGGAGTGGATAGATTTCCAAATGATTGGCATAAAGGTTGTAACGCAGTCTGTGTGAACAGCCAGGACTCTGTGTGCTGAAACCTTGCTAGCAGGCTGCTGAGCAGTCTCCCAGAAGCATTCTGTCTGAGTTTCTCAGGGGATGTGTCTTTAAACAGGGAGGGCTCTGATGGCAGCGATGAAGAAGATCAGGGCCAGCCAGCGGATGGCATGGATGTTGCCATTGCGGACAGGGCTGAGTCGCCTCCTGACAATGAAGAGCAGGAGGAAAGTGCTGAAAAGCTGACTGATGATGAACTGGCCGAGTATGATTTAGACAAGTATGATGAAGAGGAAGACGGAGGTGAGAGAAACTGAAATGTCAGATATGTGTTGTAACTTAAGAACTTTGCTTCTTTTTATGCTTAGGACACAAGTATATTAAAACCACTTAGTGCTTAGTTTAAAGTGCTGGAAATTCACGTTTTGAATTCTTTGCTTGTCTCAGTTTAGAAAGTGGTTGAATGGGTGAAATAACTCCATGTCCGCTCCTTGCCGTGTTAGTACTGGGTGGTGTTGGAGGGGCTGTTGCTCCCCCTGCTGTTGTGTTGGAGCAGAGCAGCTCTGAACGGTGGAGCTGGCTGAGGTTCTCGTGTTTGAAAACTGGAAGTTCATGTAGCCCACTCCTGATATTTTACAGTTCATGGAGTGGTGTGGGAGTTTCTGACTGGGTGGTCATTGACACGAATGAGAAATATTTTGAAATTCCCACGTAGGTGATAGCAAACTTGGAGAGACTTTGGCTGGTCTGGCAGTTTATGGAAGCAATGATCAGGATCCTTACATCACTCTGAAAAACACTGTAAGTACTGTAAAAATGTTAAATATCTGAAACGGCATAAACTTAGAATTCATTTAGGTTTTATTCCCTCCCAAGCTGCCTTAGGGTGCTTGCGGTCCTTTAGAAAGTCTGCCAGATTTGTGCTCAGACAGAATTCTTTAAGATTGCTTTGTGCAATCCCCTTTATGTGTGCTTTTTATGTTTAATTTAGATGTTGAGGTGAATTGACTCACAATTTAAGAAATGTACTTCTGTATGTGGAGGGGCCTTGTGTGCTAGCTAATAGGACTCAGAAAATGCTTGAAGAAATAACAAATCTCAGGTCACTAATGACCCTAATAAGACAGCTTTCCAGCCTGCAAGACTCCTGCATGTTCCTTCCAGCCAGATGCACTCAAGCTAGTTTAGAAAACAAATAAAATGCAAAGTAATCATGTCAAATCAGCATTGTGACTTGAAGAAATACATCTGTGTTTATTAAGGATACTTTCTGGTGCTCCAGCATGCATTTTGTTGTTGGTGGTGTTTGCTACCACCACTATTGAAGAGTTAGGTACTGTGCAGTATTATTTGTACCAATTCAGAAAATTGCAATACTTGATAGAATGCAAATATTGAAAAATACTTTGAGTGAGTGAAGAAGAAATTATTGAAAGCTTGCAACGTTGGTGCCCAAAAGGTCTCCTGTGCATTGTTTATTTGAAGGATGGCATTCTGTGTAAGGCTACTGTCTTTAATATGCAGTTCCTAGTTTTGCACTAACAAAAATTCCCTGAATGCCTTCCATTCCTTAGTAACAATGAGAACTGGATGGAGGCTACATCTGTTCTGGTGCAGCTGAATGCCAGTGTAGCTGCAGGCAGTACTTCTCTGGAACTATTTTCCAGAATGTGGACAATGTTTTAATGCTCTGGGAATTGCTGCCTGCTTGTGAGGAGCAGTGCCTCAGTGTCCTTATTGTGCAGACCGTTACATGATGTAGATGCTCAAGGCCTGAGAGACAAAGGAAAATAAGCTACAAATGTGGGATCCTGGTGGTGATTTTCTTTTCAGTGATGGGTTGCATCTTGGTAGGCTCAAAAGATGGTTTCATGTGTGGTGATGAAACATTTCTCTAAATCCAACTACATCCACATTAATGCCATCTCTATAGTTTTCAGAGATACATTCAGCCTTCCCGTGACAGAAACTGGTTCTGCCTTTCTGCATCTCCTGCTATACGATGCTTTTGGGTGGGTGGGCTGCAGGGTGTTGGTTGTTTTCTGTAACATTTAAAAACTGTTACAGATTCAGCCTTTGGAACTTGTGCAGTTGTGTGTGTGTGTGTGTGTGTGTCTGTTCTTTGCTTAACATGTGTTGGCCTCTCCTTTTCACTGCTCAGGATCAATATGAACAGGAGGACTTTTTGATTAAGCCCAACGACAATCTTGTCCTTTGTGGCAGAGTCGATAAAGACTACTGTAGTTTGGAGGTCCATGGTAAGTAATGTAGGATTTGTGCCTTACAGAGAAACCTGTTGGTTTTTTTCCGTGTGGATGTGTAGTAGATGAGGCTGATTTCTGGAGTCTTCAGCTTCCTCTGAAGTGAAAACTGTTCATCTGTTACCTAATGTCCCATGTTACTGAATCTGGACTTTATTTCTTTTTCTTGTTTCTATGAAATGAATGTTTCAACCTTTGTTGGTGTGTCCTCATGTAGAAAATTGTGTGATGTCTGAATTTTGCTAACTTTTCACTTTGTCACTAAAGTACGCAGGGCAGTGTTAGTTTTGTAGGATTCTGTGAGCTGTAGCACTACTTTGAGACTATGACTTCTACTTGGGAGCTCTGAACATATTGGAAACTTGAATTGTAATGTAGTGTTTGCCATATCTTCTTTCTGCAGAGGTAAGCTGATTTTGGCTGCTTGCTTTTCCTCTTCACTGATGTCACATACATCTTTTTCAGTTTATAATCACGAGGAAGACTCATTTTACGTACATCATGATATCATCTTGCCTGCTTATCCTCTTAGTTTGGAGTGGTTGAATTTTGATCCCAATCCTGAGGAGTCATCAGGTAAATGACAAAGGATACTGTAATTGTCCAATAAAAGTATTTGTACTTGAAAAGTATGTAAATGTAATGTTGTTACTAAGTAGTTTCCTTCACTGAAACTTAAATAAACTCAAGATGTTAAGAGGGGAAAACTGAAAATCTTTTTTTTTTTTTTTTTTCATTTGGTGATAAGTTACCTTAGTGATGCTGGAATAACAAGTGTTGCAACTAAAACATTGGCTTAATTAGAAATAGTTAAGTTATTGTTAATTAGCAGAACAAAGCAAACTGTTTTTTGACGTTTACAAGTGCAAGGTTTCAAATGAATTATGGCACAGCACTGTTGCAACATTCACCTGTATGCATGTTTTTAGTAACATTTTTCGTGTGGTGCTTTAATAGGGCTTGTTTGAACAGCCATGTGTACTGAAAGGGAAGTGTACTAAAGGACCACATCACACATCACACTGCTGAAGGCAGTGTCTGCTTTCAGCAGTTTTAAACTCGTCATTTATAATAATAAAAAATGTTCAAATAGAAAATTCTGGCACATAAATAGAAATTTTACTTGAAGAAATATGTAGAAGCTGGGTTGCCAGATATGCTGTTTTGTAACTGTAAATGTGATTGCATTTGTTGTTGGTTTGGTTTTTTTTGTGTGTGTGTGTATGCAGGAAATTATGTTGCAGTAGGTAACATGACCCCAGTTATTGATGTTTGGGACCTTGATATAGTGGACTGCCTAGAACCTGTCTTTTCTCTTGGGAGCAAGAAAGAGAAAAAGAAGAAAAAGAAAGGGAAGAAAGTAAGTGTTGGTTGAACGGAGGAAACTTAGAGCGAGGATAATGTTCTTACTACTTTACTGTAATGGAAAAAATAAAACTGTAGGTAGTCTGGTTTAATTCCCTCTGTTGTGTTGAAGGATGATGTCTAGACAGGTTACAGAAGATTATGTCCTGGCTGCATACAGGGGGCTGAAACTGCTATTTGCCTGTGACTCAGGGAGTTGAAATGGCATTGAGCAATAAGGAACAAGGTTTACTCTAATAAAATGCAGCTAGTTTAGATTCATCTCTGTCAGCTTTATTCATCTGAAAGTGAAGCATGTTTAAAGTAGTCATTGAGATAATATAGAGTGTGTACATGGAGCACACCCAGAGAGTGACTGAGTTATCAGAATTGCTATTAAAGATAACCATTTGTAGATGCTACTTCAGCTTGAGACACTCATTGCTCTGTGCAGGGATAGTTAAAGCCTGGAGGAAGGAGGAGAGAAAGAGTGGGATAACTTACGGGTACCTTCCAAGTTGTTCTCCTAGAAAAATCCTTCAAAACTCATCCATTTAAAATTAGAATTTATGGGAGCTGGTAATTAAAGCACCAAAAGTGCAGTTGATGGGGAAAATAAGTAAATGCCAGGAGAGTTTAGAAAGAAGCTGAAAAAGCTGCACGTTAGGTGGTGGAAATGAAATTTCTTCTACTGTAGCCTGAAGGGAGTAACTGGTTCTGTGAGCTCTCTTGCTGTGAATGGAGCGGTCTGAGAGCTGGGGTAAGAGAAGGTGCCTTGTTGCAGCAAGTGAGAATGATTTTAAAAGTGTAGTTGCTTGTGAAGGCATCAAGGAGTTCATGGTAGTGTGTTGTGCTGCTTGATTTCCATTGAAGCTGTAATGTTCTGAAGTCTGCCTGTGCTGTATCTGCCTATGCAGGGTTCACCTCAGGAAGGGACAATGGAAGGACATGCTGATGCTGTTCTCGATCTCTCGTGGAATAAACAAAGCAGGTAAAGGAGCATTTGAAAAACAATGCTTGCAACATTGGCACAGTTAATCAGGCATGCTTTTTTCACTAATTCAAAACCTAATGAAGTGTAGTGCTGAACTTGAAAGCAGTTTTGAAATGAACCAGTTCTCAAAAATATTTGCCCCTTTAAAAAACAAAATGGAACAAAACTAGGACCAGATTTCTTTTTTATTTTTAAAATAAATGCTTATATACTGTTGCAGGTAGCTTTTATTTCCAAGTTGTCCAGATGAGGGCAGAGCTAAGGTGGTTCCAAGCCATTCAATAAAGCAGCTGCATTTAAGCCAGATGAACTAACTGGAATAGCACAAGGTCTGGGCCAGTCCACCAGTGACCTAAAACAGCATTTCAGGTATCTTTATAGAAGGTAGTCCTTGCTGTGTATTATTTTCCTCTGGCTTTTCCCTAGAGCTGTGAAAAGACTGTAAAAGCCCTCATAGCACCGCTATAGACACAACTCTGACCTGTGGGAATTACCTGTTGCCTGAGTGAGTTAGCAGTCAAGTAATGCTGTTGAAGGAACACAAAGCAGGCACATCTGTAGGGAGAGGTTAAGGATGATGTGCAGGCTGGAATAAAGAAGCCACTTGTTATTGCTTAGGTAGTTCGTAATGAATCAACTGTTAAAGTATTCTTAGGATGAGTCTTGAAACTGTCCCTGTGATAGATCTTTTTTTTTTTTTCTTTTTTAATTTTTTTTTCCTGCTGTCATAAATTCTCTGAAGATGCACACAATCAGTTCTACATTCTCTGATCAGCAGGTGTCAGCCTTTACTTAGAGCTTGTCTGGGCACCAAAGGAGGAAGCACGCTCATAGATATTCAATAAACGTGGAGAAGTTGTGCTCTTCCACTGTGTTGTCTGTTGATCTTAAATTATGCACGTGCACAATGTGGTATCATTCCATCAGTCTGACTCAAACGTAACTTTCATATTACTTAGAGCTGGTTGTCTTGTGATAGCACAGAGATAAGTCACAAAATCGCAGCTCCAAGAGCTAAAGTGTCTGGAATGTACAGCGCAGTAACGCACTGGGTTATGAACTCCACGATACTGATAGAGCTTTCAGGAAATAAAAGTTGTACAGTGTTGGGTCTTTGTTAGTTATATAAACACTCAGATACTGGAGAGCTAAGTTTTTTTGTTAAAAATAGATTTGTCTGGATCTTGGCTGCAAGCGTATGCTTACAGACTGAAGTTGCATTAATGCTTGAAAAATACCATCTTTATGTCAAATGGAGGGAAGTGCTTCAAGTCTTTCTCGCTTTGTTTTGCTCATGAAGTCATCCAGTAAGTTACATTTTTCAAGTGCTGTGGGGAGAAGATCTAATTATGTAGACCAGTGTACTTGTGGGTGCCCCATCCCTGGAGGCTCAAGGCCAGGTTGGATGGGGCCCTGGGCAGCCTGATCTGATGGGGAGCAGCCCTGCCCATGGCAGGGGGTGGGGCTGGGTGGGCTTTGAGGTCCTTTCCAGCCCCAGCCATTTCATGGTTCTGTGATACTTGATCTCCAAATCAGATCCTCCACGTATTCAGGATTTGTGACCATTATTAGGTTTTGTGTCTATAAGATTTTCTTAAACCTTATCTTTTGGCTTATTATCAGGAATGTTTTAGCAAGTGCTTCTGCTGACAGTACTGTGATTTTGTGGGATATGTCTGTGGGCAAACCAGCAGCCAGCCTGACACTACACACAGACAAGGTACGTAATAATTAATGTGTTTATTTCAGTGTAAAGCACAGAAAAAAATACTGCAGTTTTTTGTAGCTGCTCAGTACTGAACACATACGACAGCAGCTCTGTGGTTTTCCAATCAACTGTGCAGAATTCTTTAAATTTCTGAATTGGTTTTGCAACAACTATATTTGGTTTCAAAAGTGTTAATTAATACTTATCCATTAGAAAATCGTGGGAGGCTTGCAGCAATTTCGTGGTTTGTTGTTTTTTAATGCCTTCTGTGTAAAAGCCCAAGAGGTTGGGAATCTAATAGTGCTGCTATGAAGCTTCAAAAAACAGGTCTCTGAGCATAGATCCAACTGTGAGCTTTGCTTAAGGAAACAATGAGTGTTGCCTATAGTTTGTTCTAGGTAAGAAAGGTTTAAAGTAAGCGATACCAAAATTCCATAGTGATGGATATTTGGGAAGTTAATTAATCTTGTAATTAGAACGTGGGAGTTAGTTATTCTCAGCTATAACTTTATTTTGCTGTTAGCAAAGTCGCTGCCTTTGACAAAGGCAGTGGGAGGTAATAGTGATAGGTAGACAGTTGGACTGGATGATCTTGGAGGTCTTTCCCAGCCTTGGTGATTCTATGATTCTATCTCAATGCTTATTCTTTCATAAAATCTTCTGTCACCTAGGTCCAGACATTGCAGTTTCATCCCTTTGAAACTCAGACCCTTATTTCCGGATCTTACGATAAGTATGTCAGAGTAACGTTTGTCAGTGTTACACTTAGCCCAATGTTAATGCCATTAATTTGCCTCAGGTTTTCTTTTAATTTGCTTTTAAGAGTGCCAGATTTGAGTAAGGTTTTTATTTCTTTCCAGTGAGGTAGCCAGATTTGTACGTGGCCAAAATACAGCTTTCCTTCCCTCTTTCTCAGCTTTGCCAAATATTTTCACCATCTGGACTGAAATTTTCTGTGCCAGGCATCTGCTCCAAACTGAACTTATTTCTTGATTTGTCTTTGTCTTTTCTGCAGTAGAAATGTACCTCTGCTCATCCCCCTGTAAACTTCTCTGGGCTTTTCCAAACAGTAAGACTAGGTTGGGCTTTATGTTGTCTGGCTTGTGTTATGCACTTGCTATGCTGGAGAAGAACCCCATGTTGTTGGGAGCTGGATTCTACCCATTTTCCTCCCCAAAATTCCTTTTGTAAAAATAAGAAAAAACCTCCAAGCATTCAGACCAGCATCCTGATCCATTGTTAGCTCTCCTTTTGAACCCCTGGCCACCTACATGCCAGTACACTGTAGACCAGCAGACTGCCTTTGTGGATTCATCCTGTAAAGCATCCAAGAACCACCTGTAGATGCCAGCAGTAAAATGAATTTCACAGAGTTCTGTTGTGATTCTGCTTTTTTCCTTTCCTGTTTTCCCACAGGTCAGCTGTGCTGTACGATTGCAGAAGCCCACAAGATAACCATCGAATCTGGCGGTTTAGTGGTCAGGTTGAAAGAGTAACTTGGAATCATTTTTCACCTTGTAATTTCTTAGTGAGTATACACTCTCTTCTTGGCCTGTTGGCTGCTTCACTTAAGCTGTGCTTTTGTATTTTCTCTCAGTATGATTACGCTTAACTTTGTGTAGGTCTGTGAGGCAGCTGTTAGATGGCTCCAAAGTTTGCACTGAGTTTAGAGACAAAAAGCTCAGTATTTCAGTGCTGAGCATAAGTTCTGAGCTCTGTAGTGCAGCCATATTCAATGCAAAATACAGTTAAATTTGCATACGATTAAGATTTCCACAGAATTCACTGCAATGTAGTTTATATACAGAGAATAGTTCAAGCTCCAGATGTATGAAGTCTGACTTTGGAGGTGAAGAACTGTGTACAGGGTAACGTGTCTTGCTAAGAAGCAGTGTAAATTTGTCTCAGATGACAGGGGTTTAATAGAGAGTGGGTGTTATTGCATAGAATGTTTTTAAACAAATGACTACAGATGTTTGTTTCAAAGTATTGTGGTTTCCTTAGGCAAGCACAGAGGATGGCTTTGTGTACTGCCTGGATGCTCGCTCTGATAAGCCGCTGTTTACTTTGAAGGCTCATGACGAAGAAGTATCAGGTAAATTATGTGTGTGTTGTGTTTGCCCCAGTGGTGAGGCTTGTCTGGAAGATGTCTTCAGATGATGTGACTGAGATGGTGGTGATTCCTTGCTTAACAAAAAAATGAAGTAGTGTATAGTAATAGTGAGTAGCTGGCCCACGATGCCATCTGTGCTGAGAACCACAGAATGCCAGAATGCTTGGGTTGGAGGGGACCTTAAAGCCCACCCACTGCTACCCCTGCCACGGGCAGGACTGCCACCCACCAGCTCAGGCTGCCCAAGGCCCCATCCAAACTGGCCTTGAGCCTCTAAGGATGGGGCACCCACAGCTTCTCTGGGTATCCCGTGCCAGTGCCTCACTGCCCTCTGAGTGAAATACTTCCTAATATCAAAATCTCTGCTCTTTTCGTTTAAAACCATTGTAAGCAAAGTATTTTAACAACAGTGAACTTGCCTCAGTAGATATCATGAATAATAAGCATATTGAAACAGATTTGTTCATCTGGGATATGCTCTTTTTGCTTTTTGGGGTGAGAAAAGATAGAAACTACGGAGTCTGGTCCAGCACTATGAACCAGAACTTCTCTATCCATAATATTTTATATTGGCATTTCACTCTGATGGTGACTTAGATGTGGCACATGGGAAGGTTTCCACACAGTCTGCTTTAGACTCCTTAAATCATTTGACCAGTGTAGAAACTTCTAAAAAGCAACTTGAAGGAAGTACCTGATTAGGTGAGATGTCAGTATGTCTCATCATCTCAGATAGATAAAGAGATGGAGTTGAATGAAGAAAACTGCCTGGGGAAGCCAGATTATGTCAAGTGAAAAGCACAGCAGCAGCAGCAGCTCTGCACTGTTACTGTCATTACACTGAGAGACAAAATAGGTGTACATGAAGTTTGCTCTCAAAAGGTTCTTCTGTTACTGTAGGGAGCAGTGGGAGCACAAAACTGTCATTAACTTTTTGCTTTGTTTTGCTGGAACTGAGTTTAGTGTGTGAAGAATATTAGGTTTGTTCTGCTTTCACTCTAAATGTGTCCTCAGCTCTGAAACAGTGATTGATTGATGCTCTTACACTGATGCATTCATATCTTCCAGGGCTACAACTAAGTAGTCAGGTCAAAGGGTGCCTTGTGACATCATCTGCTGACAAATATGTGAAAATTTGGGATATTCTGGGAGGCAAGCCAAGTTTAATCCATTCCAGGGATATGAAAATGGTAATCTTTGATTACATTTCTTGCTTCTAAGAAGGCATATGTATAACTGCTGAATCTGTTTTCTGATTTAAATCTTGTTTTGTGTAATGCCTTAAAGAAATAACAGCAAAAACCCCACATCCGTGTACTCTGGGTAAACCATTCCTCATTATAACACAGTATTCAGTTGAAGACGTAATTGGCAGGCTGCTTTGAAGCCTTGGATCTGAATGTCAGATAGAGCATTCTGCAGTAGGACTATCAGTTTTCCATCATGCATCTTTTAAGGTTCAAGATGAATACATGATTTGTTAAATGTAATTAACAGCTCTTACAATGATTTTGTAAGGACACAAAGTCAAGTTTCAAGAGACAGAGAGCTTACATTTGTTATACCTTGCCCAGCAAAAGTATTTTCTGATGATGAAATCATTTTAACATGATATTTAGGGAAAAAAAAACCCAAAACTTTTCTCCCTCCTTCCCAGGGTGTTCTCTTCTGCGCAGCTTGCTGCCCTGACTTCCCATTTGTTTTTGCCTTTGGAGGAGAGCGAGAAGGGCTGCGTGTCTGGGATATAAGCAGCATTTCTGCAGGTAATATTCTCATTTTCTGGGATCTCGAGGCTCTGCCCCAGGGTGTATCTGTATATTCAGTAATGCAGCGTGGCTCTGAGTGTGACACTTCTAAAGAAGTACCCAAAGACTGAATGTTTTCACACTACCAGCTTAAAAATATCTTTTTTTTTTTTCCATTTTGGAGAGCTGTATTTGCCACAATTTATTTTCTTGTAACTGAAACAGAATACTCATTTCTCACAGTCTTCCTTTTTTTCTTAATGTTCTTGGTGTAAACAAGCACTGCACAGAAGTGAAGACTGGTTTTGATCAGTTGTCTCAGTTGCATGTAGCTAAATGGTGTGAATTTTTTGAGGCTTTTAAGAGCCTGATGGCACCCAGAGAGAGTAAAACCAGAAATAAATAATTTAAACTGTTTTGCTGTACAAAACTCATCCATTTCACAGTGCTTCAGTAAGGGAATTACACACAGGGAAACATCTAGGGAGTTTCCGGGGGAGAAATACCGTGACTTGTAATTCAATTATCGTACATGAGGAAACAGATTGTTCTGACTTGTAAGCTTACAACTCCCTGCTCTGGGTAATGGGGAAGGCTTTGAAACTGCATCAGGTGAGGATTTCCATTCTGCTGTATTTGCCTCGCTGTACTTGCTGCAGTGCTCTCTGAGAAAGTAACATGGAAGCAATGCCTTACCTGTGTTGCAGTGAATGAAGTTTTTGGAAACAGAGAGAGACTTGTTCTGGCTGGTGCAAACTCTGTGCCTTGCAGCTCCTTGGCTGGTAGTAGCAGCAACAGTTCAGAGACGGCGATGGAATCGTGACGGACCAAACCTCACAAAATCAAAGTAACTGAAGGGACTGCAGCTCAGGTGTATTCTACCAATTCCCCTGTTTGGAGAGCGTTTGTGAAAGTGACTCGTGTTCAAACTGCAGGCTGCTTTGTCTCAAAGAAACATGGATACATGGGTCAGCTCCCAAATCTGCAGTTGTGAGTTCTGCCTTTCTCACCAGCTTCAAAAGACTGAATTTCTTCCATATGCTTGAATTTACAATCCCTGAATTAGGGGCAGCTGGGTGTAGAGTTGATATACAAGACGAAATCGTATCCAGAAAAGCATTCTGCTGCTGTCAGAGGTTTGTCAAATACTGCAAAGAAGGTAAATATCTCCTGATGGTGTTAAGGAACAAAGCTACACAACTGTTGGCTGAAATGTCAGACAGAGGCTGGGAGAATTGGCAGCTGTAAATAGCTGGATAACTTATCCTTAATTTGCGACTGGATTGACTAAAATTCTTATACAGATTTTAAATATGAAAAAGCTTAAGTTTTTTTTTTAAATCTTTTAAGAGTATTTCTTGGGTAGTATATCTGAGTCCCTGAATAGAATCCTGGAATGTATCACTTGAGATCACCAAAAATCAACCCAGAAACATCTCTGCTCTGTCCCACCATAACCAAGGGTTTCTTTCCCCTGGTTCCCTTTAAGTCAGTGGTTAGGTTGACACTCAGTTGTTTTATAAGAGCAGGAACTTCTTTAAGGCTCCTCACATTTAAAATGAGCACCAGGTGCCTTACTGTAGGCCAGAAGTTAAATCTCTTAACTCATGTGAGGTGCTTCCCTTGCCACCTATTGGAAGGTGGTTATTAAAGGTGTCTACTAAAGCACTAATGCTGCAAAGCCCCTAGTTATTAAAACAACTGCTCTCACAGTGGGGTCAGTGCACACAGTTTACAAGCTGTTACGGCTGCTTTCCAAGCTCAAACCACACAGACTTTAAAGAAACCAGGCAACACAGAGCAGAGAGAGAGGTACAACTGAAATGAGGCTGTTTATGGCAAGAATCTAACAGGGATAACCAAGCACCTTGTCAGGGAAGAGTTCAGCTCACTGTCCCCCCACTTACAGCAGAGACAAACAAGCCACAAAACCAACCTTCAAGGTTTAGAGACGAGTTGTTAGTCTTCTCTTTGTGGAGGCATTGCTGCCCCTGCCTTGTGCCAGGAATGCTTGAGAGAGGCAGATGATGGGGAAAAAAGTGCTGGGTTTTTTTTTTCCAGAATGCTTAAATATTTAAAAAGAACATTAGAAAAGAGCCACATTTTTAATTTTTTTCCAAAAGAAAACAAGTGAATGAAATCCATTTTCATTCCATAAATAGTATTAGCAGCAAACCCTCCCATCTGTTTTAAGTGGTAAAAGGTTTACAGCACACAAGGATGTACTGTAAACGCTGTCTGATCACCTGTAAGCTTCTTCCCTACTGGTCTGTACAGTCCTTACTTCTTCACAACATGCTCTCGTGAATCAGAGTGAGAGAAGGTAATAACAAATAGCCCCTTTTTGGTTTTCTGAACACTGCTGTACTGGGATAATTGCTTTATCTACAACTGTTGATTCCACTGCCTCCAAACCAAAGCATTATTTTCTTTAGAAGGAGCCCTGAGCATTGACATTCTTTGCTCTGTGCCAAACCACATCCTTCAGTTAACAGGTATTAAAAAGATAAATACAACTAACTGCTACCACCATTTTTTTTTTTGTCTTGTTTGTTTTTCTTGCCATCAGGACTGTGGCAGTTAAGGAAAAGATGGCTTACAGGTCATGGCTGTTACTCAACTACATCTCTGGGTTGTGGCTCTTCCCTCAAGGATAATGCAAGGCGTGTTATGTATCCTAGCACAGAGTGGGTTATCTGAGTATGCACAGCATGTGTGGAAAAATCTGTTCCTCATATTTCCTTTCAAGCAACTGTTCAGTCTGAAGCACGTGATCCATTCTCATTCAGTGTTTTGGCTGGAGTTTATTCAGTGGTGGTAGTGGGGAGACCAGAATGAAAGGAATACTCCTCATTTGACATATGCTGTTGACTGGGGAAATAAGGAAGAGAGCTGTAGTTTCTTCCTTCCCCTGTTTTAACATCCATGAGAATTTCCCTTTTCTTCATTTGTGTCCCGTGAGGGCATCACCAGTTGAGTAGACTCCATTGTTAATCCTACAGTCCTCAGTCCTCAGTGAGTCTATCAGTTCCTCCTCTGAATCCTCCTCTTCCTCCTCTGGGGCTGACAGACTGGATGTGGGGCCTTTACATATTTTTAAGTGGCGAGTGAGGTGATATTTGGTTAGATAAGCCTTGGTGCATTTTTCACAGACATAGTCCCTCTTTCCTTCATGTGAGTTGAGATGCTTCTTCAGATGATTTGTCCTCAGAAACAGCTTGTCACACTTGGGGCACTTGATCTGCCGTTCTCTGCAAGAGAAAAAAGTCAGTTTGCTGCTGCAGCAAGGCAGCTGATGTATTAAATTATAGGGAGGTGGGTGACAGTGCAAGTGGCAGAGTCAGTCTTGTTCCTAAATCTTGGGTCCAATGCATCTGAAGCAGAAATAACAGCATTACTACAACACTGACATGTAAATGCTGTTTTCTCTCAAAAAGCAGTATTTTTGCTCCCCCGGTGCCCCTGGCAAAAGTCAAACTTTTAGGACCAACTCCTAGCCTGCAACCAACCATTTATCTTTCCCGATGATAAATCAGACAAAAAAAAAAATTCTCTAAGTTTTTTTGTTTGCCTTTTAAGTGAGACCAAACTCTGGTTAAGCTCCACGTTTTGGCAGGACAGAGGTGTTGCCATGGTGGAAGGGTGAGCCCCCCCTTCTTTTCACCCTGCACAAACAGGAAGGGAAGGAAAGAAAAAAAATAATAATAAAAAGAACAAAGCTGCTGAGTGTTAACAAACCTCAGCTGTAAATACTAAGCTGAGGCTTACCAGACTGCAACAGTCAAATTGCACATGACTGTGCAAAATGCCTCCCACCAGTAGTGTTCCTTGCTCTGGCTGTAAGAACAAGAAAAGCAAATCTCTTCATCTCTCTCATGCTTGCTGCACTATGCTGTTTCCTAGGCAGCAGGAAAGCAGCAACAGTCTGATTCCAAGTGCATACAAGAACCAGATGCTGAAAATGAAACAAGCAGAGGGATTAGATTTAGGCAAGCAGCCTTTATGGGAGGGACTCGAGACTGGAAGTAATTCCAAACAGGATGGAGAAAATGCTCAGAGCAGAGAGAAAGATCCGGCTTGGCAGGGCTGAAAGACTGGGTGAGACCTCCAGAGAAACAGAGGAGAGCCTGGGGGTGGCATCTCCCTGCACAGAAGAGACAAGTGCATAAATGAGAGTTGAGAGGGGAAATGATGGGTGGAGAGAAACAGCTGGCAACAGATGCATTCCCCAGGTACAAACTGAGTAAGAGAATTAGCTAAAATGTAAGGACTCATGTTGTGACTTGGAAACAGTTCTCAGCAGAGAACTAAACATAAATCAGCTGCAGTGATGAGCGCTCCAGAATGCTATTTCACAAGACAGGATGCATGCCTGGAATTTCCTTTGTCATTAAAAAATTGCAAACAAACACCAGAATAGTCCAGCAGCAGCAGCAGGCCAGTAATAAGGCATTTGTCCAGACTTACTTCTCCCTTATTTTAGAAGGTGAACCTGTGCTCCCTAGGCCAAAATATTTGCACATTGAATTCTCAGGCCGTTAAGCTACATTACTGACTGCAGCCCAGCACATCCCCAGAGCTCACTTACTGTGTGTGGGTAAGTACGTGCTGCTTGAGGTCCTGCCTCCGCATGAACAGCTTTTCGCAGTAATCACACTTCAGATTCTTCTCCCCGGTGTGGATGACCATGTGTGATTCCAAGTGAGCCTTCTGGGTGAACGATTTGTCACAGAGGGTACACCGATAATTCTTCTGACCTACAATTACACACGTATATCCACAGTCAGCGTGCCGAGAGGAAGTAAGCAAACAATCCCAACCACTCCTGAAGAACAAAAGTTTTACCCTGAAGAAAGGCAGATTCTTTATGAACAAAGCTTATTTTCCCTCCTGCAGTTCTTTCAGACTGTGCATCTTTCAGACCTCACCAGTTACAATCTCTATTTAGCTATGCAAAATAGGCACCTGACTTTACTTCATCATTCCCGTTGTATTTCACTTCCCACCTCAAGTCAAAAACAGCACTTCATGCTACTGTTTCCAAGCAATGAACCCTTCATGTGGAGTGGGGCACTGCACTTGGTCCCTTCTATTAAACATAATCCTGTTCTTGCAGTGCTTGCACCCATTCAGTCTTTCCTGCAGAACTCTCTTTCCACTGCTTGTCTACACCAACCCCATCTCCCTGGATGAGCCATTAAAGCCTGAATGAATATGCTAGGAAATTTTCCAGCAAAGAAGAGGAGGGTTATCCAACATAAATTCTTGAGCAAAAATAATGGTATCTCCTTTTTAATAGCAACCACCTAGTTACTGCACATCAGTGCATTCCCTTCTCTACTTCTCTCTTGAGTTGATATTTCAACCATACTGAAAAAACAGGCAAAAATATCCATACTACCTCTTGCTGGACTGTACTTATCTACATCCTCTCCCCTCTCCTCACCCTGAGTTAAACACACTTTCTTACTCCCTGTCATCTTCCTACAGAGCTGAAAAATTTCCCTTTTTATTTTTCTCTTTTTTCATTCATTAATCTTCTAGCAATTCTTCCTTTACATCCAAAGGCCCTAGTGATATCCAAATGCACACAGAGGCCATCAGCACGTTCAGACTTGGTGAGTTTTGATGAGTGAAATAGCTGAATCTTACCCACTTCAGTCTGACCCCATCGTCACCAATTTCAGTCTTGTGCCATTTGCTTCCAATGAAAAATGAGTAACAATGAGGGGAAACATCTCAGCCCCACATTTAAGTGGGCAACTGTCCACAGTACAAGCTTTTAAACCCAGTTGGCTTTTTTCC